AAGATCTGAATTGTGCTTCTCTGAGCTGACTTCAGGGCTGGGGCATGAGAGCCGTGAGACCGGATTTATTAGAGGGGAAATTACCACATGTGCTAAACCTTGACTGCAGCTAATATTTGTAGAGCTAATTGCTTGAACACCCCCAGCGAGGAAGACCCGCGCCACCCCTCCGCGTCCAGTTAGGGAGAGGTGATTGGGACCCGCGATGTGGCCTGGCCACTGTTTCCGTAAATAAGAAATTAAGAAATGCTCAACCCAGCTGCAGGTCTGAGAGCAGCCCCGGCCGCGTCCACACGCCTCTGTTGCGACGTCGGGGATCTGGGGTGGTGAGCAGCAGCCACCCGACCGTCTGAGTCTTGATGGTTTTTTCCTTCCTTTTTCTCTGCTTGTTCTCAAATGGGCCTGGGGGGAAATGCCAGTGCAGCCAAGTCAGCTGAGCAGCGGCGGGACAGCCACCTTGGAAGCAGGACAGAGCTGGATGATGGGCGCTGCGGTGCTGGGTGCTGCGGTGGTGGGGGCTGCGGTGGTGGGCGCTGCGGTGGTGGGGGCTGCGGTGGTGGGGGCTGCGGTGGTGGGCGCTGCGGTGGTGGGCGCTGCGGTGGTGGGGGCTGCGGTGGTGGGCGCTGCGGTGGTGGGCGCTGCGGTGGTGGGCGCTGCGGTGGTGGGCGCTGCGGTGGTGGGGGCTGCGGTGGTGGGCGCTGCGGTGGTGGGGGCTGCGGTGGTGGGCGCTGCGGTGGTGGGGGCTGCGGTGGTGGGCGCTGCGGTGCTGGGTGCTGTGGTGCTGGGTGCTGCGGTGGTGGGTGCCGCGGTGCTGGGTGCCGCGGTGCTGGGTGCCGTGGTGGTGGGCGCTGCGGTGGTGGGCGCCGCGGTGGTGGGCGCCGCGGTGGTGGGCGCCGCGGTGGTGGGCACTGCGGTGGTGGGCGCTGCGGTGGTGGGGGCTGCGGTGGTGGGCGCCGCGGTGGTGGGCGCCGCGGTGGTGGGCGCTGCGGTGGTGGGTGCCGCGGTGGTGGGCACTGCGGTGGTGGGCGCTGCGGTGCTGGGTGCTGTGGTGGTGGGCGCTGCGGTGGTGCTCCCTCCCACGCCCGTCCTCCGGTCACTAAGGCGTCACACCACCACCCGCAGCCGGGCGCTTCCCTTCTCTCAAGTCACCAAGAATTCTGAATGAAGATCTCAGTGAGGCACGTGGTGAACACCTGCGGGCACTCAGGGCTCCAATGCTGAGGGGTGCAGGGATCAGCGTCCTGCGGGCTCTCAGGGCTGAGGGGAACGGCGTCCTGTGGGCTCTCAGGGCTGAGGGGTGCAGGGATCAGCGTCCTGCGGGCTCTCAGGGCTGAGGGGAACGGCGTCCTGTGGGCTCTCAGGGCTGAGGGGTGCAGGGATCAGCGTCCTGCGGGCTCTCAGGGCTGAGGGGTGCAGGGATCAGCGTCCTGCGGGCTCTCAGGGCTGAGGGGAACGGCGTCCTGTGGGCTCTCAGGGCTGAGGGGTGCAGGGAATGGCGTCCTGCGGGCTCTCAGGGCTGAGGGGAACGGCGTCCTGTGGGCTCTCAGGGCTGAGGGGTGCAGGGAATGGCGTCCTGCGGGCTCTCGGGGCTGAGGGGGTCGGCGTCCTGCGGGCTCTCAGGGCTGAGGGGGTCGGCATCCTGCAGGCTCTCGGGGCTGAGGGGAATGGCGTCCTGCGGGCTCTCAGGGCTGAGGGGGTCAGCGTCCTGCGGGCATGCAAGCCACGGAAACTGAGATCTGAAAAGCACCCTCAGGTGTGAGGGTGCAGCCCCGCCTGCCCCCCTCAGAAGGCGCTGTGCGGGCCACGGCGTGGGCGCTGGCTGAAGGCCGAGGCGGAGGGTGAGGTGGGCTGGGCCCGAGGGGCGGCCTCTGGGGACCCCGCAGGTGAGGGCTGGCCGTGTCCAGGCCCGCTGAAACCTGACCATCATGCTCTGACAGTGGAGCTTTCCAGAAGCCCCGGAAGCACACTCTGTGGTGGGCAGATGCTGCCTTCCAGCACCGCAACCCCAGAAAGCCTTGCTGGGCACCAGGGGCCACGGTGTGCGGTGGGGAGAAGCCGCGGCCAAGGCTGGACATCCGGTCCCCTGTGGTGACCCATGCTGGACATCCGGTCCCCTGTGCTGATCGATTTGCACTGGACATCCAGTCCCCTGTGGTGACTCGCGCCAAGGCTACCCTCTAAAGACAGGACGGGCGGCAAACGGCTTTCTCAGCCTGCGCCAGGCGCTGAGCGCCTCTGGGTTTCTGCAGAAGTCTCCGCGTGAGGCAAGTTTTGAATTTTTAAAATAAGGACATTAAACATTCAGCTCCCCGCCTTTCATTAAGGGCAGGAGAGTCTAACACACGTGAGGGGCCGGAGTAAAAGATGAGCCACTGCTTTCCTCAGCTGGGTGGAGGCCGAGCAGCCTGGGACGCGGGCCTCTCCCCGCGCGCACCTCCCCGCACGCATCTCCCCACGCATCCGGACAGCAGGCTTTCCTGCGCCGACGGCCGGGGCGCCCTGGTCTGGGGTGATCACACCTGCCCTGTGCCGGCCGCTTTCTCCTGCCAGGCCATCGACTAAGTGGTAGGTGTTTCGGGGTTCGAACGTGTTCTGCCTCTTCCCATTACCAAACGTATTGACTTAGTAATATGCTTCACTCTCCTTAGACGCTCTTTGTTTGGCAGTCCTGCGTCTTGAGCCCAGGGTCTGGTGCCGTCCCTGGGTCTCTCTTGCTCTAGTACTGTGTGGAGGAATTCACCAAACTGCAGTGCTGTGCCAATTACACACAGTGTGGGGCTCGTGAATGCCCCTCGATGGGTGACATGAGCCTTCACGCATTCATTTCTCCTTGGCTGGCTCAAAGGTAACTAGAGAATGGAAGCCGGAATAGAGCAGTGCTTTGGGCTGACTGGGCAGGGCCGTGCTGGGTGGAACCTCAGGGACAGGTCAGTAACAAAGACGCACCCCGGCCGTCCCGCAGCCGGGCCATGCACAAGCCGGGGCCCATAGGCCATCCCACAGCCGGACCCTGCACAAGCCAGGGCCCATAGGCCATCCCACAGCCAGACCCTGCACAAGCCAGGGCCCATAGGCCATCCCACAGCCGGACCCTGCACAAGCCGGGACCCATAGGCCATCCCACAGCCGGACCCTGCACAAGCCAGGGCCCATAGGCCATCCCACAGCCGGACCCTGCACAACTCAGGGCCCATAGGCCATCCCACAGCCGGACCCTGCACAACTCAGGGCCCATAGGCCATCCCACAGCCGGACCCTGCACAAGCCAGGGCCCATAGGCCATCCCACAGCCGGACCCTGCACAAGCCAGGGCCCATAGGCCATCCCACAGCCGGACCCTGCACAAGCCAGGGCCCATAGGCCATCCCGCTGCCAGACCGTACACAAGCCGGGGGCCCTGCCAAGGCACATCAACCAGGAGTTTCAAGGCTAGAACTTGAAGCCCACCCTGCTTTCCCTCCTCTAAGTTGTTCTTATCTTGCCTAAGCTTCCTTTCCTATAAAATAGAGATAAGATTATCATCATCATTACTTTTTTGTTGTTGTTGGTTGTGGGTCTTGAAGTCTGGGCCTGGGTGCCGTCCCTCAGCTCTTCAGCTCAAGGCGAGTGTTCTACCACTTGAGCCACAGCGCCACTTCCGATTTACTGGTGGTTTACTGGAGATCAGAGTCTCATGGACTTTCCTGCCCGGGCTGGCTTTGAACTGTGATCCTCAGATCTCAGCCTCCTGAGTAGCTAGGATGACAGGCGTGAGCCACCAGTGCCCGGCTTCATTCATTACTTTCTCTGATACCTGTGAGAACTAAATAATAAAATTTAGGTAGAATACTTGGCAAAGAACCAGTCATATGAAGTCGTTACTAAAAGTTTGTAGGCCCGAGCTCAGTTCAGAAACCTGTAATCTACAGATATTCAGGAGCAATCTCTCTCTCTCTCTCTCTCTCTCTCTCACACACACACACACACACACACACTGTTAGTGTTATGCCCTGTCTCTCTTACAGACACATAATTAGATAGATAGATATATAAAACCTACAGTCCTCTCACATACACAATTTTATATGTCTCTCCTACACACAATTCTCTCTATAAATATCCTCACACGTCTCTCTCTCTCACACACACACACAATTCTATGTTTGCGGAAGGAGGACTATCACTGGTCATTCCGTGAAGAGCTGTCACCGCATTAAGAGCATTCACCCAACCCACGTTGCCCATCTTGTTCTGGCTTCTCCTGACTTCCGACAGCTTGCTCATGTCTGCTCTCTGCCCCCCATCTCTGCTCCCCCCCCCCGCCCCTCTTTGCATAACAAAGGCCTGGAGGTCACGGATTTTGGCATTTTGGAGGTGACCGATAGCAAAGCAAACGCTTTACATGAAAGCATTCAGAACTGATTTGCAGCTGCGTGTCCACGCGTGTGTGTCCGCTGCTGTGACCACATCCTTCTACACGTGACTCGGGGAGCGGGGGGGGGGCCCTGTGGGGGGCTTCACACCCCACTTCCCCGCGCGACCTCTGTACAGTCAAAACATTCCAGAATCTCTCAGTGACCGTCCATCCGTCCATCCACATACCCTTCCTACCTCGCAGCCACAGCTCCTCTCCTTCCCCCAAGGAACACAAAACAAAACCCAGGACACACGCAGGGTGAGTGACTGTCTCAGGTTGCTCGAGATCGGACCAGGGGTGGAGGGGTGTCTCGGGTGACAGGAGGCGTCTGCTACCCTACACCAAGGCCCTCGCCGAGGCCGGCGGGCGCTGGGAGGCTGCTGCAGTCCTGTGTAACACAGAGCTTTCATCTCTGAAGACGGGAGACGGGGAGGCGGGGTGAGCGGTAGGCAGGGGTGAGCGGTGCGGGCTGGCTGGCTGGCCGAGGCTCAGCGGGTGCCCAGGCCCTCCGCTTCCGGGGAGGGGGAGGCTCCTCCGCGGATGAGCCAGCCGGCAGGCTCCTCTCCGAGCCACAGAGCCCTCACCGAGGCGGCCGCATCCCGCCATGCCAAACCAGCAGAAGAAAATCCTGTTTTGCATGGCGGGCGTGCTGAGCTTTGCGTGTGCCCTGGGCGTGGTGGCGGCCCTGGGGACACCGCGGTGGATGAGAGCCACCTTCCTCTGCACCACCGGGGCCCTGCTGGTCAACGCCTCGGGGCCGGAGCTGGACAAGTTCACCGGTGAGGTGCGCTACGGGCTCTTCCACGGAGAAGGCGTGCGGCAGTGCGGGCTCGGGGCCAGGCCTTTCCGGTTCTCATGTAAGTAGTGCTCGCGTGTGAATGATTGATGCTCTGGAGCCCTCTTCCAGCTGCTGCCGGGAGGTACCAGAAGGGCCTCGCTCCCGCCGCGCATGACTTTTTAAACCAACACCTGAGACGTCCCCTGCATTTTAAATTACAGAGGTCGTTGTTATATAATTAAGCCTTTTGAAAACAGAAGCAATTAAAGTTCCCAACTATTCCTGTTTATGTAGCAGCTATCAGGTCTTTGTGATATGGGGGCTTGAGGACATAGGAAAGCAGTAAGAAATATCTTTGTGCCTTTTGTTCTCTAAAAAGAGAACAAAGTGGTTTCTTAACGATCCTGCTTTTCCACCTCCGTGACTTTCCTTCCTCGACCCCATCCCTGCCGGACCTTTGCTGCTGGTAAATTGTCTGCTTTTATTTTAAATCAATATGGAGTCACTTGGCTAAGGAAATACAAAATGATGTTTCTAGGATAACTGGGAAAGAAATGGATGCCAAAGAGAAACATTTCAAGGCTGGAAGGTGGCTCCGTGGTAGAGCGCTTGCCTTGCATGCCTGAGGCCCTGGGTTTGATTCCTCAGCACCACATAAGCAGAAAAAGCCGGAAGTGGCGCTGTGGTAGAGCACTAGCCTTGAGCTGAAGAGCTGAGGGACAGCGTCCAGGCCCTGGGGACAGCGTCCAGGCCCTGATTTCAGGCCCCACGACCGACCAAAAAACAAAAACTTTTGTGCACTGGAAGTGTCATCCACAGCATTTATAACCTGTTTATCTCATGAGGAGAATTTTTTAAAAATTAGCATGTGAATAGGCAACTCATTAAATGAAAATTAATAAGAAGCCATTTGTCATATCTCTCACAACACACATCCAGAAGTTATTATTATTTCAAAAGGGCTGGTTTGGAACACTCTTATGAAGGCGCTGGAAATTACCGCATAAATCACTCTTCTAGAAAAGGAGGGTACCGGCTGAGGCATTTAAAATGAACTATTATTTTGCCTGAGCTTTTTTCTCCTCTAATATAGGCAGAAGGAAAAATTAATTGAATTTATTATTAACATATGCAATGTCTAATTAAATTTCCGTGCCGGTTTATTTATATTTCTGCTACATTCCTTCTATCTTCTTAGCAGTTATTGGGTACCAGCTCCAACTCCATAGGTTACAGAGTGATAGAGCTCCAGAAAAGCCCCAGGAATTAGTCTTCAGTTTTCAGGAAGTTCTCATCAACCCAGTTTGATGAAGAGAATCTCTCCTTCCCTGAATGGCTCCATTCATTCCGGAAATGCACCCCCCCCCCCCCCCCGCAGGGGGAACAAAGCAGCCTGCTTTGTGATTCCCAATGGGTATTAACGATAAAAAGGGAAAGAAGATGAGTGAAATGATTTAACCCTGAGTCACAGCGGCTGGGGCAGGGGAAAAGCCTCAAACTGACACATGTAGACAAAGTGTTCCAGAACCTTTGCATTTAGCTCAGGAGAAAACTGCGTTCCTGCAAAGAGCAGGTCCCTGTACCGTGGACCTGAGTGTCATGCTGGGTGCACAGGTCCCCAAACCCGCAAACGCCGTGTCCTTGTGGGCTGGAGCAGCTTGAGCCTGGAGACCTTGCCTGTGATACCAGCTTTAAAGATGCACCTGCGCCTCCTCCCCAGGCTGGGGAAGGGGAAAGCTCAGATCCCCTCCTTCCGCGCCCACCGTAGATCGTTAGGGATAAGGAAACGCTGCTTATTGAAGCCTCATTCACCTTTCTGAGGCCTAGAGAAGTATGCTAATAACAGGACCTTGCCTGCCCGCGTGTGGAAGCATCGCAAGAGAATGTGGAAGAGGGGAATAAATAGAGCCTGTGGACTCCCCAGAGACTTGGGTGCCCATGGAAATAAACACGCACCGCCGTCAATGCCAAGACTGCTCTGCCGTGCCCCTTCTCAACGCTCACTGCAGTGTAGCTTCCGGGCTCACATTTCCCATTCCGAACACCATCACCCCACCAGCACATCTTATTAAGGGATCATAAGGTTGGGAGAGTCGTCTGGGAGTCTTCCTGATAGGAAAACGTAAAGCTTGCCGATATTTAGAAAAATAATCATCCGAGGCTCACCCCCCCCCCTCGTCTTCTCTAAGTCGCGTCCTTTGAGGGAATCTGGGGCCTTTGGAGACCTGGAGCCTGCTGAGTCTGCCAAACCCAACTTAAGAGCAGACACAGCTCACCACCCCCCGCCCCCCCACGTCCTCCTCCCACCCCGTTCCCTTAGGAAGTTATGCAGCAAACACTGGGGTTCACCGAAACTTTCCAGCATAGCAGGCAAGAAGCAAGGCAATCGATCAGAGCCCCAGTCCTTTCAAGACCAGGGTAGAAATGGAATGTAAACCCAAAACACAAGCCATGTATGTAACTTGAGATGCTTGAAATGTAGCCGTAATGGGAAAAACAAAACACAAAGAGAAATGGGTGAAATGGACAAGATGTTTCCTTTAACCCATGATATCCAGAATACTGTTACTTTAATGTATAAAAAACTGCAAAGGTGGCCAGACGCTGGTGGCTCACGCCTGTCATCCTAGCTACTCAGGAGGCTGAGGTCTGAGGATCACGGTTCAAAGCCAGCCTGAGCAGGAAAGTCCATGAGACTCTGATCTCCAACAAATTACAACCAAAAAAAGCTAGAAGTGGCACTGTGGCTCAAGTGATAGAGCGCTACCTTGATCGAAAGATTCTCAGGGACAGCATCAAACCCCAGGACCAGCACACATACAAAAAGGAAAGAAATTATAAAAATTATTGAGATATTTTCATGCCTCTAATTCAGAGAGCTTGTATGAGTCTGATGCCAACAGCTCCGTCCTGGGCCTGCAGTTATCACAGAAGCCACTTCCGTGGAGTGGATTCGCCGTGGGTGTCCATATTCTAAACAACCTTGCTCGGTTCTCTGAACAAGCCTCTGTGTGCGTGTGCATGTGTCTGTGTGTCTGTCTGTGTCTGTGTGTGGATTTTTACGTGCTGTGTTTGTCTCACTTTTAAAGCCCATGTATGTGTTGTCATATGAGAATGAAGAATGGACTAGAAGAACCGGGGGGCACACGGGCGCCTTTGCTCCCATTGAGCGTTCCCTGCCGACCGTCCTGTCTCCTTTCATTATAAGATCACCCCGCGAGCACGCACCGGCATCCTGGGAGCCCTCTGCTGCGTCCGCAGGCATCCGCGGCCCGCGGTTCACCTTCCCGGCTGGGCGGCAGCCATACCCGTGACCCAACGCCAGGGCTGGGCTTCTTTTTCCTGATGCGTCCCCGGTAATGTTTCAATGACGCTGTGAAACCTGCCCGTTCTGCGCTGGGTGCCCGTGGCGGGCTCCTGTTTTGGTGATTTGAAACGTTACCAAGTGCCGTCAAAACATGACCTGCGCTTTGTCTGGTGCCGTCATTCCCGGATACGCCAATCCGTCCACTGCCGAAACAGTCTGATGAGCCGCCAAGAACATATGGAACCCGTTTCTTTGAAACATAGAAAGAGTGGAAACCTAGCCATTCGCAACCTCGGCTGTGTTTGGGAAACCATGTTAGTTTTGAACTTAGGGTTGAACAGGTGCAGAAAGCTCAGGGGAGATTTAGCTGACTTCTTTCAGAAAAACAGTGTTTCTTTACTGAGAGAGGCGTATGACCCAGGTTGTGCAGAGGACCGGAAGCTTCTAGGAGCCGGCTGCTGGCTGGCTTTGGGATATATTTTGGGACCAAACATTTGTGACATAGCCTCATGACTGTCAGAGAGGCTGGGACTCTGTGTCCAGGGCTGCAGACACTTTGGGCGCAGCCCCAGGGGCCTGCTGGCCACCTCCCCGCCCTGCGCCCCCCCCTCCCCGCAGGCCCACCCCCCCATGCCCACCTCCCCTCCCCCATGCCCCAGGGGCCTGCTGGCCACCTCCCCGCCCTGCGCCCCCCCCCTCCCCGCAGGCCCACCCCCCCATGCCCCAGGGACCTGCTGGCCACCTCCCCGCCCTGCGCCCCCCCCCCCTCCGCGCAGGCCCATCCCCTCCCATGCCCACCCCCCCTCCCCCATGCCCCAGGGGCCTGCTGGGCACCTCCCCGCCCTGCCCCCCCCACAGGCCCACCCCCCCCATGCCCCAGGGGCCTGCTGGCCACCTCCCCGCCCTGCGCCCCCCCCATGCCCACCCCCCCCCTCCCCCATGCCCCAGGGGCCTGCTGGCCACCTCCCCGCCCTGCGCCCCCCCCTCCCCGCAGGCCCACCCCCCCTCCCCCATGCCCCAGGGGCCTGCTGGCCACCTCCCCGCCCTGCCCCCCCCCTCCGCGCAGGCCCATCCCCTCCCATGCCCACCCCCCCTCCCCCATGCCCCAGGGGCCTGCTGGCCACCTCCCCGCCCTGCGCCCCCCCCTCCCCGCAGGCCCACCCCCCCATGCCCACCCCCCCTCCCCCATGCCCCAGGGGCCTGCTGGCCACCTCCCCGCCCTGCCCCCCCCCACAGGCCCACCCCCCCTCCCCCATGCCCCAGGGGCCTGCTGGCCACCTCCCCGCCCTGCCCCCCCCTCACGCAGGCCCACACCCCCTCCCCCACGCCCCACGGGCGTGGACAGTGTCTGGAGAGAGGGTCACTGGCAGGCAGGGCCTTGGCTGTTAACTGGGAGATGTATTTAGGAGAGGCCAGCAAGCCAAGGTTTTGTGTTTTGTTGAAACAAGAGTGACACAGAATAGATGTGTGACACGGAAGACGGTCCAGCTCTCCCAGCCCCATGGCTTCTGTCCTTTCTAGACCAGGGCCCTGGGGCTGCTGTACCCACACAGAACAAGCTGGGGGGGGATGGGGGGTGAGGACCAAGGGGGAACAGGGGGGGCTGGGGGGCGAGGATGGGGGGGCTGGGGGGAACGGGGGGCGGGGACGGGGGGGCTGGGGGGCAAGGACGGGGGGGCTCTGCACGACTCATCCTGGTACTCTCAACGCCGAGACTTCTTCCTTTTGTTGTTTGAGGTTTTTGGGGTCAGTTGTGGGGCTTGAACTCTGCC